ATTCCTGAACACTTAATTGTGCTCATGAGGAACCTGTACATAGATCAAGAGGCAGTTGTTCTGATAGAACATGGGAACACTGAATGGTTTAAAGTTAGGAAAGGTGGGTGATAGGGTTGTATTATTTCACCATATTAATTCAAACTGTATGCTGAGCAAATACTCTCAGAAGCTGGGTTATATGAAGAAAAACGTGGCACGGAATTGATGGAAGACTCATTAACAATCTGCGATACAACCTTGTTTGCCGAAAGTGAAAAGGACTTAAAATACTGATGGAAACCAACGACCAGAGCCTTTGGTATGGATTACATCTCAATGTAAAGAAAACAAAAATCCTTACCATTGGACCAATAAACTACATTCTTATCAATGGGGAAAAGATTGAAGTTGTCAATGACGTCATTTTTCTTGGATTAACCATCAACACTCATGGAAGCAGGAGTCAAGAAATCAAAGGACATTTTGCATTAGGCAAATCTGCTGCACAAGATCTCTGTAAAGTGTTGAAGAGCAAAGATTTCAGCTTGAGGAGTAAGGTATGCTTGATCCAAGCCATAATATTTTCAATAACCTCATCTTTATGTGAAAGTTGGACAGTGAATAAGGAAGATCACTGAAGAATTGATGCATTTGAGTTATGGTGTTGGAGGAGAGTATTTAAAGTACTTTGGGCTGCCAAAAGAACAAACAAATCTGTGTTGGAACAAGTACAAACATAGTGCTCCTTGGAAGCTAGGATGGTGAGACTTCGTCTCTCATATAGTCTGACATATTGTCAGGAGGGACTGGTCACTTGAGAGGGATATTATGTTTGGTAAGGTGGAGAGTCAGAGAAAAAGAGGAAGACCCCAGCGAGATGGATTGGCAAAGTGGCGGCATCAAGTGTGGCAACAATTGTGTGGTTAGCCCAGGACCGGGCAGTGTTTTGTTCTGTTGTGCATAGGGTATGAGTTGGTACCGACTCAATGACACCCAACAACAACGACAACAACAAGTAGATTTATGTCTATGTGGCAGGGAGTTGAGTTAATTAGTGGCTTATTAATTGTTTTAGTTTGATCATTAGCAACTGCTGTGAAGTTTTACAACTTTAGCATTATGAATCAAATGTTGAATTATTCTAGGTTACTCAAGATGACCAATTAAATAACTATTAGTTTCTTTAATGAGTGGGAGTGAGGTACAGTTTTCAGAAGTGAGGATTAAAGAGAATGATGGGAAGAAATATATTATTAAAATAGTTTTGCTTAATAATATCACATACTCTGTTTTATAATTCTCTATATTTTTGACTATAGGCTAGGAATTTTTAGCTATACAGAAACATGTCCTAGGCTTGAAATTTTTAGCTAAAAGAATTTGTATTTAAGAGAACTAAAAGATTAGATACAGGGTTACTATAATTTGGAATGCACTTGATGGTAACGAGTTTGATTTTAGTTTAAAAGATTACAATTGATACGGTTGTATATGAGGAGGTTTAAAAAAGTTCATGGAAAAATTCCATTTCTCCACAAACTTTTTGAAGCCCCTTTGTACATTGCATTAAATGTCTCCAAAGAAACTCATCCCGTGAGGGATTGGTTAGCTTTCTCAGGAGAGCTGTAGTGCTCAGTGGGAAGAGATTTCAGTCAGTAGGTGGCAGTCTACACTTTGAAATGAGACTGTCTATATTGACAATGTACCAGCACCCTGGAAGTATTGTGAAGCATTTAACATTCATCAGAAGACAGAATTTGAAAGATAAAGCTAAATGCTATTTCATATTAAAAGC